GGGGGGGGGGGGCGAATGTGAGTCGAAAGATTTGTTCAATGATGGGATCAAAAGCTGTGAGCAAGTCTATGGTCTGGATGAGGGGAAAAAAAGTCGAAATCAATATTATAAGGCTGCGGCTATTCGGACCCGGGTCCGAGAAGTTAGAGTTTGGGTTTATTAAAAAAATATTTAAAAATTATTGTAGGGTTTTAGTATGACAAAATTTGGTTTCAAATGAAAGATAATTGAATGGACTATATGTTTGTAAACTTACCTCTTAAGTTTAACTAAAATAAACAACCACAAATGACATCCGAATAGCATTGAGCCAAAATGGAACCGGACAATCATCGCCGCTATTCGGACCCGGGTCCCTTTAGACCCAATGCTATTCGGATGTAATTTGTAAATTTGTACATTTAAATTTTTTTACAGATTTCTTCTTTCGGCATTGCTACTAACATGGCAATCACCTCTGTCGCTTCACTGATACCCACCCCCCTTCTTTCCGTGCATGTCATCCTTAAATATCTCCCCCACCCCATTAACCCAACATCAATTTGGGGGCCCCCCGGCTCCTCTCCGTTATGAGCTAACTGCCTACCTTCTCCCAAGATTCACCAATCAGGTATTGAAGAAGCTGTCACGTGGTAAAAGGATCATGCGACAAGGATCGATGTCCTCTTCCCTCACCATTAAGACAATAACACAAGGGAGACAATGTCGGTAGGAGCGTTTTCACCCGTTTTCCACTTGGTAAGTTTCTCGTTGTTCTTTCGCGTCTGCTTTACTGCCCCAGGGGGTCGGAGGAGAGGGGGTGGGAGTGGGGGTGCACGCGAATCGCTCAGCATGACCCCCACGATTTAATTCCCGAGTTTTACGTCATGACATAAAAACATAACACCGGAAAATAGAACTGGGTCTGTGACAATTCCACTTTTCATCCTTGATAATAGCCGGCTAATTAACGCGCAACACATGGTGGGTTTTTAGGGAGGGGGGGGGGACGACGACAAAATAAACTATTCGTGAGCATCAAGGTATAGAAAAGAAACGAGGCGAAACAGTGCCGATGTTACATGTTTGTTTCTTTAATCTTAAAAACTATGATGTCCTAGTGGATGCATTTTTAAAAACAAAACAAATAATAATAAATAAATCGTGTTACTCAAAAACTAGGCTGTTTTAGAATTATTTTTAAACTTTCTTTTGTAACCTTTCAAAGTGTCGGAGACCCGATTTCCTCTATTGCCTGGCACAGAGGTTTGACGTGAAATCTATTTCTCTGTCGCGTGGACCGTGCGATCTACAAGTCCGATAACTGACTCAACACATCCACGGATCAAAAACACAGCTTTAAAAATATATATTTTTTTTTTAAACTCTCAGTTGTCAGATGTCATCAAGGTAAGATAACAAACAATGTTTGCTTAGGATCATCGTAGGTCTGTGCTGTTATTTATTTATTTATTTATTTAGGCATTTTTATATAGCGCTTACCATAAAGCTCTAAGCGCTTAACAATTATTAAAAACATGTAAACTAAGTAAAATAAAAATGAGACACTAGGATAGTAACTACTATACTATAGAAACAATGAAAATGGCTATAAAACGAGGACACTTTTCCCTTTTCAAAATTGTGTGAATGCCATCCCAAACAATGGTGTGCGTTATAATTAATTTTTTTTATTACGTTCTGTTATCATTTTCAAACTCTCCTAATGCCATTCGAATAAAATACACACTTTCTTTTCTTATAATGTGTATCATCTTTGTGTTTATTATAAATTGTATTTTTTTTCCATGAGTTTATGCCGCGTGAGTAAGATAATAGTGATAAAGCTATATATGATATAAATCAATAGTGACTCAAGCGATTTCAACCGTTTATTAAACTTTACGACACACTTAAGCTAATAATAATTTAGGTTGATCCACACACCCTTCATTTATTAAACATTTTCGACTGTTTTAGTGATACTATTATTGTTATTACTTCATGGCTTTTAGAATAGTTGCCTTCTTACTTTTTACGATACTTTTAACTACCATTTGCCCTATACTTTTTCGGTCAATTATTCCCACCCACCCCCACCCCTCAAAAAATAAATAACAAAATTAAAAAAATAAAAAATAAAAATGTCCTTTAAACTTGCTGAAATCAATAACTTGAGAACCCTTGTGAACTTAAGCGACAAATCCGTACAAAAGAAAAGAAAGAAAAAAAGCTCTAATCTAATGCAAAGTCATGAAATCGAGAGACTGCTAAACTGCTAGTGCCTCAAACACCAACAACTACAACATGTTTTAGAGCAGTGGTTCTTAACCTTTTTGGCGGTACCGAACCCCATCAGTTTTATATGCGCATTCACCGAACCCTTCTTGATAGGAACAATAAAATATGATTTTTTTTTTTTCGTTTTTTTTTTTGGACCTCCGCCGAACTCTTGAGACTGACTCACCGAACCCCTAGGTTCGATCGAACCCAGGTAGGCACCACTGTTTTAAAGCTTCCATTTCATGGTTCCCAAACCACAAATCCTGACCATTTTTGACCCTCGTGGTTATACATTTTTTGGTTTTCCTGTTGCCAATTGTGTGTCTTGGCCTTTCTCGAACTGCTGTCCGAGGTGTACGAGAGTTTAGCATTCACTGAAGTCATTTTTTTTTAGACGGAAAAAAACAAAAAACTATTAGCAGTGAATGTCCTAGTAAATTATGTAATTAATTTTGCACAGGGGAAAGGTCACACCTGGTATATAATTGTGTAGATTTTTTCGCCATTTTTTTTTAAAATGCGACAAGAAATATGAAGTTACATGTTCGAAAACCAAATGCCTGGTTCTCAGCCGTGTTTCGACTAAGGGGGCTTAATGTCGATGCGACTCGGGAGGTATACGGTTATGTAATACGGGGGTCAAAATGCTATGCTAGGGAGTTTTATATAATTCATGTTATTCAATGCTGCCGTTTTCATGATATATAGCGTCAGCCGTAGGTTGTACAGAAATAACCGCGTCACTGACTCGCGTGTGATGCAGCTCTGACTCTGACTCCTCATACCCAGGGCCGGCGCCAGAATATTTGGCACCTTAGGTGCACCTGTCGCACTGCGCCCCCCCCCCCACCCACGCCGACGACAACTAATTATTTAATTAATAATGCCGCCCCCTAAAAATTTGCCGCCCAGGGCGTCCGCCTAGTTCGTCCGATGGTTAAACCGGGCGCCTGCTCATACCTCATGTTAAACAAATAAATAAAGGAAATAAACAGATATGAAAAGTCAACGCGTGTGTGATACGTCCCTTGGGGTCAAGCAAGATGTTTACCGGAGAGCTGAGGGCGCCTAACTGCACGGTCACTCCTTTCAAGTCTTTAAACATGTATTTCAATATTCCAGATCTTTTATTTGACCGCGTCCTAGATAAATCTTTAATAATGCGTTAAAAAATTTAAGTTACACATTGTTGAATTACACAGGAGTCTTGATGCTGAGCCCCCGGTGACGCCAGACAGCAGTGATCACGTGGAGCTCGTGGTCTTAGAGAGCGGCGAGGACCTGCCAGGGGATAAAACAGAGGAGAGGCAAGAGAGGGCCTGGGCGGCGCTGAGCAGCAAAGGAATGCGGCAGAGGCGGACGTTATTGAGGAAGGAGGGTCAGAGGTCAGTGGTCCAGTTCTAAGTAATGGAGGGTTGCTGCTGGTTCAGCATCTTGTTTACATTTTGCACTTAACTGGAGTTTTAAGCCTCGTATGTTTGTTTTGTCTGTTTGTTGTTGTGTAGTTTGTTGTTGTGTAGTTTGTTGTTGTGTAGTTTGTTGTTGTATTGTTTGTTGTTGTGTTTTTGTTGTTGTTTTGTTTGTTTGTTGTTTTGTTTGTTTGTTTTTGTGTAGTTTGTTGTTGTGTAGTTTCTTGTTGTGTAGTTTGTTGTTGTTTTGTTTATTTGTTGTTGTGCTGTTTGTTGTTGTGTAGTTTGTTGTTGTTTTGTGTATTTGTTGTTGTGCTGTTTGTTGTTGTGTAGTTTGTTGTTTTGTTTGTCTGTTGTTGTGTAGTTTGTTGTTGTGTAGTTTGTTGTTGTTTTGTTTGTTTGTTGTTTTGTTTGTTTGTTTGTTGTTTTGTTTGTTGTTGTATTGTTTGTTGTTGTTTTGTTTGTTTGTTGTTTTGTTTGTTGTTATATTGTTTGTCTTTGCGTTGTTTTTTGTTGCGTTGTTTGTTGTTGCGTTGTTTGTTGTTGTGTAGTTGTGTTGTTGTATAGTTTGTTTGTTGTTATGTTGTTTATGTTTGTGTTGTGTTGTTTGTTGTTGTGTTGTTTGTTTGTTGTCTGCTCCAAATGACCAAAATCATGCTGTGACCTCTGGTGCAGATCATGTTGGGGACCTCTGGTGCAGATCATGTTGGGGACCTCTGGTGTAGATCATGTTGGGGACCTCTGGTGAAGTCCGTCTAATATAAAGTAACATGCTCTATAGAATTTGAAGGGGAAAAGGGAGTGGGGGGGGGGGGGCTTTGGGGCACTGTTTTTGTTTTTTAAACTTTGGTAAGTAACCTAAAGAAGCACTGTAACAAATGTATAGCCTAGTAACTCGGTTGGTGTAGATCATGTTGGGGACCTCTGGGGAAGTCCGTCTAATAGAAAGTAGCATGCTCTATAGAATTTGAAGGGGAAAAGGGAGTGGGGGGGGGGGGCTTTGGGGCACTGTTTTTGTTTTTTAAACTTTAGTAAGCAACCTAAAGAAGCACTGTAACAAATGTATAGCCTAGTAACTCGGATGTTTGTATACCTTAGTAACCAATCGGTTTGTTTTTACTCCCACAGTAACGTGGCCTTCCGGGGCATACAAAAGAAGAACATCAGATTCCTCAAAGACCTGTACGTCACACTGCTGGACCTGAAATGGCGCTGGGCGATGCTGATTTTATTTTCAGGATTTTTCCTGTCCTACCTTGTGTTTTCTGTGATCTACTTCCTGCTTTCATACACGTAAGCTGTGTGAATATATGATCTTCCGTTTGCACGCAGTAAAGTTGTGTGAATTGACTGCCTTCTGTTTTTCACACAGTTAAGTTCGTGCACGTCTATTGTGTGACTAGAATGAAGAATGTCTTAGAATTTAATACACGTTAGTTGTGTGAATAGAAAGTCCTCCCCTTTTTCATCAAATAAAGTTTGTTTAAATATCAGCTTCCACATTCATGAGCGTTTCAAAATCGAAGCTGACGCACGGATTGGTTTTTTTTATTTACTTTTTAGCATCTTAAACTCAAATGTCCCCCAGTTTTGCCGTATCCTATAAAATTGAGAGAGAGATGACAAATGGCGCGCATTTTAATCTTTCTTAAAAACATATTAGTTGAAAGTCAATGACTTCAAGTCAAAGATTTTTCAACCCATAAGACACCTTTTACTAAATCTACTGTTAATTTCTTAAGCTCAGTTCACGCGAACTAAATTCCGTCCAATTTTTAGCGCACTATTGTGTGGGTTCAAAAAGACATTCGACGAAAGTTTGATCGTTCGCGGGAACTGGGCATTAAAACAGTTGACATCGCCAAAAAAATGTCCCGATATTAAATGGGAACACTGTGGGTGACATGGCAAGATATGTTCGCCTCTTTAACGAAATTTAAAACTTTGACATTGTTCAATGTTTCTGTTCGTCATAGTGGTGTCTAGATAAATACCGGTAGCCTTTGTTTCGTGTCTTCCTAATTAGTTTCTGCTTTTTAAACATCCTACTTTTGTATGGCATTAACCAGCCGGTATTGTGTAACTGATCTGTTTTCATATGGAATGAGACTAATTTCACATGAAACTGGTCTGTTTTCATGTGGAACGAAACTAATTTATCGTGTAACTGACCTACTTTCACAAGGTACTAACCAGGGATCAAGTTCTGGGAATATAAGTATGGGAACTCATCCAAGATTATCGACTCCCCCCCCCCCCCCCCCAAAAAAAAAAAAAATATTTAAAAAATCCCCTGATTCGCGTCACAACCCTTTCCATTTTTAAATATGTCTTTATTTCTTAAGGAAAAAAGTACAGGACCACCACTCCCATGCGTTCCTGCTGGCCGATCCATTACACAGGCCCTGCAACCCCTGCGGCTGAAGGGGGCCTCGGAGAGTTAAAGGGTCTAAAGTTTTATTTGGGAAAAAAAATTAAACTAATGGTATCAACTTTGAATGGAGGGCCACAAAACTGAAAAGCCTCAGGCATGCCTCCAAAAGCTACTCGATGGCTCTGCCTGCAGGATTCTAGCCATGGAGCCAACCTACTTTCATGTGTAGCTAACCTACTTTTATGTGTGGCTAACCTACTTTCATGTGCAGCCAGCCTACTTTCCTGTGTAGCTAGCCTACTTTCATGTGTCACTAACCTACTTTCATGTGTAGCTAGCCTACTTTCATGTGTGGCTCACCTACTTTCATGTGTAGCCAGCCTACTTTCATGTGTGGCTAACCCACTTTCATGTGTAGCCAGCCTACTTTCTTGTGTAGCCGGTCTAATCTCACAAGCAAATAACTTACCTCCCTTATTCCGCAGACACGGAGACTTAGACCATGTGGGGGACAAAACGTTCAAGCCCTGCATTAAAAACCTGGAGTCGTTCTGGGACGCCCTGTTGTTTTCCATGGAGACTCAGTCCACCATAGGATACGGAACAATCTACCCCAACGCCGAGTGTGCAGGGACCGTTCCGGTCGTTTACCTACAGGTCACATTCATCATTGTTTATAGTCAGTGGCGTAGCTAGAGTATTGGCACCTGAATTCGATGTCCTTATTTGGGTTTCTTCGTGTTCTATTTTTAGATTACCTGCGGCTTCCTGCTGGAAACGATCCTCCTGGGGTTTATCTTTGTCAAGATCGCTCGCCCCAAGCACAGGCGGCACACATTGATATTCAGGTAAGGCGGCACACGTGGATATTCAGGTAAGGCGGCACACTTTGATGGTCCGCTAAATGACACGCACTGATTTTTCAGGTAAGGTCCACTTAACTTAGCAAAGGAAAGTTTTGAGCTGTTGCAAGCGGTAAACTAAATGTCCCTGAATATTCCCCCCCCCCCTTCCCCAAATTTCCCGTTTGCATAGAACTGCGTCATCCGGAATCGTGTAAAGATATATAAAGACCCCATCGGGAACTGTGTACGAATATATAAAGACGTCATCCGGAATAGTGTAAGAATATATAAAGACGTCATCGGGAACTGTGTACGAATATATAAAGACGTCATCCGGAATTGTGTACGAATATATAAAGACGTCATCCGGAATTGTGTAAGAATATATAAAGACGTCATCGGGAACTGTGTACGAATATATAAAGACGTCATCCGGAATTGTGTAAGAATATATAAAGACGTCATCCGGAATTGTGTAAGAATATATAAAGACGTCATCCGGAATTGTGTAAGAATATATAAAGACGTCATCCGGAATTGTGTACGAATCTATAAAGACGTCATCCGGAATTGTGTAAGAATATATAAAGACGTCATCGGGAACTGTGCACGAATCTATAAAGACGTCATCGGGAACTGTGCACGAACATTCAAAGACATCGTAGCCCTTGGCGGAAATAAGAAGCACTTAAACTACGAACACGTGATGTCGCTAGTGTGTGTTATAGCTTTGTCTCAAGTCAATCTTTTGTGACGATCGTCATGACTTTCTGCTGCCGAGTCTGTCTTTTGGGTACGACACATCGTCTGTCGACAGCTATTTTTATTTTCCGTTGGCTGGCACTAGTTGGTTCCAGTTGGTTTGTTGGTGTCTTCCGTATTCGATATTTGAGGATTTTTTCTCTCTCCCTCCCCCCCCCCAAAAAAAAAAAACCAGTTAAAACAAACTTGTTAAATTTAATTGTTTAACAATCAAATTAGCTTAAATCTTTCAATTACCTATTTGTTGAATGTGTTGAATGTGTTGAAAGCGTTGAGCATATGTGTTGAATGTGTTGAATGTGTTGAAAGCGTTGAGCATATGTGTTGAATGTGTTGAATGTGTTGAAAGCGTTGAGCATATTTGTTGAATGTGTTGAAAGCGTTGAGCGTGAGGTGATGTTTTTTTTTAATGATCAAACTAATGACATTGATGATTCAATTACCTCCGCCCCCCCCCCTTTTTTTTGTGGATGCACGCGCAGCCGCAACGCCTGCCTGTGCAAGGAGGACAATCAGCTGAACTTACAGATACGGATCGGTGACCTCAGGAACTCCCACCTCATCGACAGTCACGTGTTCGGGGTCCTGGTCAGGAGATACGTCTGCGAGGAAAAATACGTGTATCCTCTGTTTCAGGTAAATCTGGTGTCTCCTTTATTTCTCGTAGTACGCACGTACCCATTTTTTTTTTTTTTTTTTTTGCATTTAATGTGTTTTCATTGTTGGTGGTATAATACGCGTACACACATCTCAGGTATCGTCTACGCGTAGTATCGTTTTCGTGTAATAAAAAATATATGCTTGTATCGATTATTTCGAGAAATACTTGTGATGATACGTGTGTCATCATTACTTTACTTCTGGTATCGGTAATAATATCAGTACTCACAGGGCTGGCTGATGGTACTGGCAATATCGGGCAGTTTCTCGAGGCGCCTTGTGCCTAGGGCGTCATCAACGATCCTCCAAAAGAGGAAATATCATTGCATGTGGGCGCCATGGAAGAAAAAAAGAAAGTGGAATAAAAAGATATGCTGATCTAAAGCTGGAGAAAAAAAAAGTGGGGGGGGGGGTATTGTCATCGGTAGGCTAATAGTTCATACTGATCACGATATACCAAAAGTTCATACTGCCCACGGCAGGCTAATTTTTCCTACTGCCCAAACGCAAGTTAAGAAAAACACATTTATTATTCAATGTTTTGTTTCCTTTTTAAAAAAATAAGAAAAAAAGAAAGGGGAAAAAAAAGATATGCTGATCTAAAGCTGGAGAAAAAAAAAGTGGGGGGGGGGTATTGTCATCGGTAGGCTAATAGTTCATACTGATCACGATATACCAATAGTTCATACTGCCCACGGCAGGCTAATTTTTCCTACTGCCCAAACGCAAGTTCAGAAAAACACATTTATTATTCAATGTTTTGTTTCCTTTTTAAAAAAAAAAAACTAGGTAATAAACTCATCACCTAATCCCCTGTTGTTGTTTTTTCCAAGCACAATTTTTTATGTTTATACTTAAAAGGGGCGCCAAAGTTAAGCGTGCCCCGGGGGGGGGGCGCCATCAACCGTTGGGCTGGCCCCGAGCACTCAGGTATTTCAGGTGCTGTTTCCATTCATACTCGTGAGAAGTCATGCTGATCTTCCATCAAGCGCCTGCCCAAGTGGCGGATAGGGGAAAGCCCGCCAGATAAGGAAGGATGTGGTGGAGCAGGCCAGGGCCCTACATGGCCTGTAGTGCGACTGATGATGAAGATGATGGGTGGTTCCATTATGTCAACTTATTCGTGCAGCCATCGGAGCGGGCAGCGATGCGTTATGGATAATCCATGTATTAACTCTTTTTTTTTTTGTCTTTGTGTCAGCATGAAATAGAATTCGAGGCCCATGGAATGGGGGACCGCCTTTTCCTCATTTGGCCAATGGTGCTGAGTCATAAAATCAATAAGGACAGCCCACTTTACACTTTGACCCCGGAAGGTAAATATATAATTAGTTCCCCCTGGAATTTTTGTTTTCAATATCCAACGTGTCTCTTTTCTGATTAATTTCGTTCTTGTTTTTATTATTATTATTGTTTATAATACTGATTGCTAGTTGCTACCAGCTTGTACTTGTACACATTCATTCGTTAAATCAATCAATCATACCTTTTAAATTTTTAAATGTCTTCAGTTGGAATAAGATAACACAATAGAACGTAATTTTTCGAGATCTCGGTTGAGCAGTCTTTTTATTAGTAAGATCAAACTGACCTCTTGAAAATTAATGTTAATCTATAATCTATGCCCTTGCATGAATGGGAGAATTTTTTATTTTTTTTTAATTTAAAAGTTTTCTTAAAAGTAACTATCAGAGTGCCGCAGATAACGACAATATGGACCACATGTGTGCCGCGTGGTCGGACCCCCCCCCCCCCAACCCCACCTCCTCTAACAGAAACATATATTTACTCAAACCCATCAATAAAGTTGTCTTCACCTGTTCCTTTAACTCCGCCCACAGACCTGATGTATGACAAGTTTGAGCTGATGGTCATCCTGGAGGGGACGATAGAGTCCACCGGGGAGATGGTCCAGGCCAGGACCTCCTACACCAGCAAGGAGATCCTCTGGGGTCACAGGTTCACGCGAGTGGAGGAGTATGACGAGAAGACGGATAAATGGTAGGGAACGGACTTGGAGATGCGGCTGTGTGAAAAGCAGGACGCAATGAATGGCTTTGGATTGTTGATTAATGTAAAAGGATTTATTGCATTTAAGCCAATAAGCCAATGTAATTGGTAAAAGCCATTAAATGCAAAGTAAAAAAAAAAAGTGTACTTTCAAAAAGCCATTGTAAATGGTAAAACGGGTGTAAAGCCAAAAAGTCAATCTAAATGGTAAAAGAGCATAATGTCAAAAATACATTGTGAATGATAAAAAGAGTGTAATGTCAAAAATCCAATAAGAATGGTAAAAATAGTGTAATGCAAAAAAAGCCATTGTAAATGGTAAAATGAGTCTAGTTCCAAAAAGTCAATGTATATGGTAAAAAAAAAAAAAGAGTGTATTTCCAAAAAGCCAATGTAAATGGTAAAAAGAGTATAATGCCACATAGCAATTGTGAAGCACAGGGGCGATTTTTTAAACTGTTAATGTTTGTTTATATTTCGATCCCCTCCAGGTGCATAAATTTTGTACGCTTTAACAACGTGGTGCCCAGCAAGACGCCCAAGTGTAGCGCCAAAGAAATGGCCGAAGATCCAACCCGGCAAGACGAGGGCGAGCCGGAAGTGGGGTAAATCATTTAGTTTACACCATATGTTACAAACTTTTTTTTTGTTGTTATAATTTTTTTAAAGTGTTGACCCCATTTTTATAGAAACAACGTGACCCAAGACCAGATACATAATAATAAAAAAATATTTTTTTTAAAGATACTATTAAAGTTAAAGACAGTTAAAAACGCTCTACAAAGTATTAAAGAATTTAAGATTTTTTTTTTTAAATGCATTAGGGTCGTTCGCAAATTACGTTTCCGCTAAAAATGACCTTTTCAGACCATCCCTCCCACTGTCACAAATTCTTTACACCACCCCCCTCCCCACTTTGTGTCATGTCACACCTAAAAAAATTAAAAACACAGATAAAATTTTCATAACGAAATTAAGATTTGATTTTATTCCTTAACATTTCCCATAATGGATTAAGATGTAGTATTATTAGAAAATTGTGACGTAAAACAACGAGGTTCTTCCCAAACCAAAAGTAAAAATAGCCGCAACAGTTTTTGCTTCATTTTTCGATATGCGCAGAAGGTGTGCGCGACTGAGTTTCACTGTACTTATAACACCTTAGGCAGTTTCGACTTGAAATTAATGTTTTTAAAGGTAATTGAATAAAGATTTTTACAATTAGAAAATTTTAGATTAAAAAAAAAAAAAAAAAAAAAAATTAGGGCGGCAAAAATTTTTAAAGGTAATTAAAAAAAAATTTTTAAAATAAAAAAATTTTAAATTAAAAAAAAAAAAAAAAAAAAATTGTGGCGGCACAAATTTTTGAACTCCCCCCCCCCTGTCACAAAGTGTCACAAATACTCGACCCCACCCCCCTGAGCGTGACGTAATTTGCGAACGACCCCTTACGATAAAAACTATTACGTTCAAGGTAAAAAATACAGGCAAACTCGGATGGGTTCTAAGAGTTTCGTGTATTGCAATTTTATTTCCAAACCATCCTTTCTTGTAACCAGGGCAACAGAATCATCCGACCGGAAACCTATGAGCAAACGAACAAGCCGGGCCTTCACGGCCAGCGTGGACACCTTGGGGGCAGACACAGTGTACAGCACGGCTTCCGAGGCGGACGAGGATCGTATCAGTATGTCGTGATGAGGGTTTTCGAATGGTTGGGTTTACTGGCACTGGGTGGGAATATTCATGCATAACGAATAAATTATAGTCTCCAGTGCTTTTAAGCGTCTATATTGCTGTCTTCTCTCTTGGGTCTCTGTATCGATATCTTCTCTCTTGGGTCTCTGGATCGATATCTTCTCTCTTGGATCTCTGGATATCTTCTCTCTTGGGTCTCTGGATATCTTCTCTCTTGGGACTATGGAAATCTTCTCTCTTGGGTCTCTGTATCGATATCTTCTCTCTTGGGTCTCTGGATATCTTCTCTCTTGGGTCCCTGGATATCTTCTCTCTTGGGTCTCTGGATCGATATCTTCTCTTTTGGGTCTCTGGATCGATATCTTCTCTCTTAGGTCTCTGGTTATCTTCTCTCTTGGGTCTCTGTATCGATATCTTCTCTCTTGGGTCTCTGGAAAATTACTCTTACCCCAATAACCTTCTGAAAGTAAATGTGTCGTTCTCATAACACAATGTTTATTTCACAGGTGAAGAGGTGTAAACGTTCTCATCAAAGACAAATTAAATAGAAACACAACGCACAGCAAAGAAATGCTACACAAGACCCGATCCTTCCAACAAACCAAAACAAAAAACACCTTTGATTGTCATCAAGTTCACATCAACCCCCATGCAAGCCTCAGCCGTGGTCCCTTGAGGAGACATTGAGGTCCCTTGAGGAGACATCTCAATAACTCAAACGTTTGATGACGTAAATCAAATTCAGTCAAATGTTTTCCCTGTGTCGGAATTTCTGGCTAAGAATATTACATCTCATCATTCAGGCGTTACCACGATGTAACCTGTGCTGTAGAAGCATGACACAAAGGGTTTGTGAAAGGGGTCCACGTGTGGAATGCTTGAGCATATTCACAAAATCTACATCTCGTTAGTTCATCTTTTTTTTCTTTCTTTTTTTTTTTTTAAACTCACTCACTGCTCCGTCAGCTTATGATACATTCCACTGAGATCAGATAATTAAAAACTTTTTAAATAAAATAAGACACACCTGTTGTTTTTTGTTGTTGTTTCTTCTTGAAGCATTTATTACATTAAAAAAACCATCAAAGTCTTGTATGGAGGATAACATGCCTACTCTCATAAGAAATGACAATGTCTTGTGGTCACGTATATGTTATTGTCATTGGGTCAGCGGTAGTTTCCATACACCAAAGTTAGAAGATGCTAATGAGTCATAGCATCAATCTTTTTTCATGCTGTCTTCTGCTAACCCTTCACGTTCCCCAACCTATCCCTTATGGTCTTGCGCTAGTTCCTTTCGTTCCTTTCAACCAATCAAAACCTTTCGATACAATTTCAAACTTTGTGACCCGGGGGGTGGGGGGGGGGGGGAGAACGACAGAGACATAGCACTGGTAAAAAAATATATATAGTTTAATAAATCCTAATTAAATATCGGCTTAAGTGACCTAGAATTGCATTGAAGTGTTGGTTAAAATGAACTGGACATTCGGGTGGAATTTGGGAGGGGAGGGAGTGGTATCCTGGCAGTCAATTTGTGCATAGTTATTATTTAAGGCAGTGGCTCTCAACCTTCCTAATGTCGCAGAACTTTAATACGGCGCCTCATGTCTTGGTGACACCCAACTATAAAATTATTTTCGTTGCTTCTTCATAAATATGTGTTTTCCGATGGTCTTAGGCAACCCATGTATAAGGGTCTTTCAACCTCCAAAGGGATTACACACCTGTTTACCCTCAAACTCTTAAAATCGTACAATATCATCAAAAAATCGTTCAATACATTATCTTAATAGTAAAAAAAAAAAATACAGTATAAATAATGTATACACCTCAAAATCATACATTGTACGCCAAAATCGTAAGAGTAAACAGGTCTGGGGTTACGCCCCACAGGTTTAGAACCTCTGATTTAAGGGGACATCCATAAATGATGTCATGCTTTTTTTAGCTGTGTTTTTAACCCCATCCCCACAAATTTGTCAAAAATATTTCAACATCCTCTTCACAATTTGTAACTCCCCTCCACCGCAATGTGTGCATTCATCTATAGATAGCCTCTAACTCTAAGACAAATGAGTTTAACATGAATAAAATAACCAATTCCAGACATGCCCCTTACGGTCTACAATAAACTCTTCTTTCGACTGATGGATTATTAAAATTCTTTGCATGTTTACAAAACTCCGACACCGTAATTATTATCTAACTAAGACAGGGTTAAACACTATTAATATTCATTCAAGAGAATAATTGATGGACTGCATACAAGTTGTGTAAAAGAAATTTAAGAACTAGGTATGCTAAACTTAGATTTTAAAAAAAAAAAAAAAAGATTTGGACGTTTCGGCTTAGAGCCTTCATCAGCAAACAAGACAAAAAAGAAGTATGACAAGTAACAGAGCACAGTAAAAAAAACTTTAGTGATTTCCCATTTGTTTTCCGAAGTAGGATTACAGGAAGTTAAAGAATATAAATATTGGTACCGTGAAAAATAAGGTAGAGTATCTTAACTCATTCCCGACGGTTGCGACTAAATGCGTCCTCGGGGGGGTTTCTCCTGATGCGTCCAAATGCGTCCCGGCGCATAACGACACCCCTCTCTTATTTTTAGTTAAAAATAGCAATGAAATCTCGCATCCCTCGAGACTTACGGCTATGGCGTGATTTTAATTTAGAAACCGGAAGTTTTTATCTTGTTTCACTTTAAAACTACGTGTGCTTTAGTACGGCGCGTCTATATGTAGCATGTGTTCGTCAGAGGTGCCGAAAATCGATTTTTTTGGCCATTGTACGTTATTTTTTCCCCGCTAATGTTATATTTATATTAAACCTTATTCATTTTTTGTTGCATTTGTTCTTAATTCATTAACATTAAAGAATATTTAGCAACTTAAAAAAATATTTAAAAAATATAAATCAATTTCAAAACTGAGTTGCTTCCCTTTTCTCAGGAAAATAAATTAAGTCCGGAAGCAGCGCTGCCGGAGGGAATGAGTTAACGGATCAAAATATACATAAAAATCTGTAGTCCTGTCTATGAATTCAACTTTACCACACCTTGTTCTTATATTTCTTGTTGATATTCATTCATTTTTGTACATATGGAACAGTTAAAACTTGATTTGTTTAACATGCAAATTCTAGAAATTCTCCATGCCAAAAACAACTCTCTGGGCCCAACATCAACTGGGCCCAACATCAACTGGGCCCAACATCAACTGTGTCTGACAACATTGACTCTCCAGATTCCGATTTCAACCGTCTTCAGCAGACACCTGTTTTGTCCTAAGCTCAGATGGACCATGAGCGAACTGACACTCATCACTGGGCCTCGGGCAGCCTTCGGGATGGTGGACATGGAACCAGCAGAGAGTTGTCTTTCTTGTGTCTCTCTGTTGCTTTCCCTGCTTGCCCTTGGCTTTGTTGGGGTTTCTCCCCTTCCATGGGTCGGCCTGCGTAAAGTCTCGGAGTTGCACTTGTCCACCCGTAACTGTTTCATAATGAGAAAAATTAGAAAAAAAAAAATAATCAAAATACCCTCTGCCCTCCAGGCCCTCTTCCCTCCCAGCCCAACCCTCTCCCATCCCCAACTCTCTTCACTCCCAACATGGCCCTGACCATCTTCCCTCCCAACACTTTTCCCCCTCCCCGACCCTATTCCCTCCTCCCCGACCCTCTTCACCCCATGCGAATCAGCATTTTATTTCATTCTGTTACTCGGCAAGTAATGAATTCACCTTGAAATATGTGACTGTGATTGCGTAACAGGGTCTGTAGTCCTCCACACTCAGACTTCAGGGCATGGAGTGTCTGCTTATCAAACAGTTCAGCGACATGTCCCAGTGGCACAGAACCTGGTGGCATGAGGATAAATACAATGACTGGTCAATTTGATTGACAATATAATATATAGCTACATCCTTCAAGAATTTCATTTCCTTCCATTTAACATTTTTTAAATATTACTTCTTGTGGTGGCGTTGTTGTATTGTTGTCAATACATGAGGCCTGCCTGTGATTCTTGTGTTGAGATGTGAGAGGCCATGTTGTTTTACCTGTAGATAGTCATTAAAAATTTAGACATCAAGCTGAACAGAGGTAGTTTTCCTTGTGTTCGACATTGTATGACTAAATATAACATGGTGGCAGCCAACTGGGACGGTGGCAGACATCCTAGGACCAGAGGGACTGTTCATTTACAATGGCATGCCTCTTGATCTAGAGTTGAGACGTGAGAGGCCATGTTGTTTTACCTGTAGTTAGTCATAAAAAATCTAGACATCAAGCTGAACAGAGGTGTTAGTTTTCCTTGTGTTAGACATAGTATTACTAAATTTAACATTAGTAACCTATATGCCAAGTAATAGCCATGTAGCATTTAAAGAAATATTCCCTGAATTACCTCCTTTCCTCCAAGTCCTCCCCGTCTCCAATGGCACACGTACAGCATCAGGAGCATTGAGCACCAGCTTAAACACAGAGCTGACTATTTGCTGCTTGATGGGTTCTGGAACGGCCTGGCAGTTCCTGATCTTCTGCTCTATCCTGGGCTGGAACTCGGTGGCCCACTGCTTGGCGGCGGCCCTCTCTGCGGCGCCATTGGTCAGGCAGGAGCTCCTCTCGCAGCCTGACCTCGCATCCCAGCTGTTGACATCCGATGGCAAGTGACCTGCACCATTTTTCAAACACACCTCATCACCAGACCTAAATCTCTTAACACCATTCACCTCACATGTTTTTTGTTGTAATATTTCAGCTGAGTTGGGGGAGTCACATTTTCGCTTATCCAGAAAAGTAGAGTGTTGCTCGGGGTTGTTTTCAAACACCGTTTGAGAATCCACATGCACAGCTTCGGGCAGATGTCCGGAGCCATCCTGAAGGACTTGCCCTTCAATGAAACTCCTTCTACTAACTGGCCTGGATTTTCCAGGATCATCACTCAAGGAGAGATCACTCCTGGGTGATGTCTCTGATATGATGGCGTCAGGAGCAGTTACTGAGCTTTGGGTCTCGCACAAAAGTGATTTCTTCACAGGGACATAAGGGTATTTCTGTCTGTGTGAGATCAGACTATGGCTGTGGGCGGTTCTCTTGTCTATGTAAGCCTGTCTGTCTGTGTCCATTGAAGCTTCCCGCTCTTTCTTGTATGATCTCTCTCTACCTATGTAACAAATCTGGAAAAACAAATATTTAAAATCTAATCCATTTTTACCTAATCCAAAAAAAAAATTACTAAATTCCCACAAAAAATATATTAAACCTTGGTGATGTAGTTGTCTTCAGGGCAAAAAAATTATTTATTAGTTCTCTATTTAAGAATCCATTTAATATAAATGAATGAACCTGGCTATTTGAGGCAAGAACATCAAATAGAAATTGTTTCTACGTAAGATTTATTTCATGAGAAATAAAATCTCTTTAATATCTCTCTTCCAGATTAAATAAGATGCAATATATAAATAAATAAATATGTACCTAAAATTGACATTATAAAATATAAAGAGACAAGGTAGAGACTGTACAGACTCTTTTTTCTCTATACCAGCTTTTAATTTTTTTAAAAACAACAAAGCCCCAACTCCTGACCACCAATGTTCCCTTTAAGCTGCGCAGCAGTTTTGAGTACCGCGCAGCTAATTTCAACTTAAGGGTGTGTTTGTGTCTGTAGGCTGTAAAATTTGCACACAAAAAAATTGTTGCTGTAAAAATTTGCACACAAATTTATGATTTTGCACACGAACCAACAAACCTTAGAGGGAACATTGCTGACCACCATTAAAAAAAATGCTGCTAACATTGTCCTTTATCTCTATAAACATTTATATTTGCTTAAACTCATTCGTCCCCATTTCAAAGACTAATGTGTCTTTTCTGCTTTCCTCTGTGGCCTTTTTAAAATTTCCTGTTAAATTTTTGTTGTTAAAAAGGAGACTAGAAATATGTAAAATAGAAAAACGAAGAAATGGATCGAAACTATGCCTCACCCTTTTTGTAGAAGGTATCCTAAGGGTGTCTGACTCTGGGAGGAACCCACAGAAGGAGACAATCTCCTTGACATAGTCCAAGTAGGACTCGTAGCGACTCTTGCCTTTCTCACTCACGCCAAACTTCCCCACAAAGTCGTGATGGCAGCAGGGCAGGACAAAGAAACAGCATTCATAAGAAGATCTAAGAAACAGTGGAAAGACAGCATTCTAAGAAAAGCTAGATGCAGAAACAAACAGCAGGCGTAAAATGTTTTATAAACAACTAAAGACCGCAATACTAAGAAGAAGATCTAAAAACAGTGGAAAGACAGCACTCTAAGCCTAAGAAAATCTTGATATAGAAATAAACAGTAGTTGTAGATTGATATAAGAACTAGGGAGCGCAACTTTAAGAAGAAGATCTAAGAAATAGCGGATGAGCGAAACCTGAGAAAATCTAGATGCAGAGACAAACTGCGGTTGTAAAAAGACTTAATAACAACTAAGGACCGCAATAATAAGAAGATCTTGGAAATAACTACCTGGCCGCAATGACAGGGATCCAGGGAGTTAACTCATCACTGTGATTACCAATAATCCAGTCACATTCAGGATACAAATGGTCAGCTGATGGGCTGATTGTCTCCACCTGCAAACACCAAGAAGGTAAGCATGCGTGTCATGGAGTGGATTTCATTTATGTGCCTCAACAATAAAAACGGGTTAAAAAAAAGCTTTGAAAATTTCAGAGACTGTTTACATCTAAGTAACGCAGGAATGCAATCTCCAACCGTTTAATATTTAAGTTTTGCAGAACCACAATTTGACATTGTTTACATGCAGGGCCGAAATCTGAAACTGTTTACATTTAAGTAATACAGAACCACAAATTTCAAATAGGATTTTTTTAAATTTATAGTTTCAACATTATGCACCTGTTGTGATCTTATTTAAGAAATCAATAATAGGACATCTGGTGTGTGCCTTGGTTTATATCACAACAGTCAAGATTGACACCAAACATCATATGCTGTTCTATATGTGTATTTTATTAACGCCCTGATTGCTGTAATACAGTGGTTCTCAACCTTCCTAATTCCCATGACCCTTTAATACAGTTCCTTATGTTGTGGTGAACCCCCCCCCCCTCCCCCAAACCATTTTTTTTTTTCGTTGCTGTTTTATAAACGTGTTTTTCAGTGGTAATTCCCATGACCCTTTAATACAGTTCCTTATGTTGTGGTGAACCCCCCCCCCTCCCCCAAACCATTTTTTTTTTTCGTTGCTGTTTTATAAACGTGTTTTTCAGTGGTCTTAGGCAACCCCATGTGTATGGGTCGTTCCAAATCCCAAGGGGTCGCGACCCACAGGTTGAGAGCTATTGCCCTAATACATCATGCTGTACATTTCTATACTATAGAAACTTACTCTAAGATTGATGCCAGGTCCAAATGTATCCCATATGTTCCTCTTCCTTAGATCAATACCCAGGCCTCTGTGCTATAATAAAATACAGATACAAAAAGAAAAGTAAATAAAATGATTCAAGGGTGATTCGAGCATCCCATTACAAAATTGGCCTTGGTTAGGCTTATATTTTTACAACAGGTGCCACAGCAGCGGCAAACAAAATTACGAGGGCGTGTTGGAAATACATCTGACCTATTTTTAATGAGCTTACCCCTTCTTTGGTGAGAATATAAACCAGCAGGCCATTACCACATCCAAGATCAACAAAACTTTGCTTCTCGCTGAGGCCTTTCTTCTTTCTGTCTTCTTCCCATAGAATCTGTTAGTGAAAATAAGAGATGAAAAAAAAATCAAAATTAAACACTGCAAGTTTGAATTTTTTTTTAAAGGATTTTCAATCTATTGACTATTTTATCTAATTTTTCCCCACATTTGTCATATGAATCCTTTGTTTTAATATTATGTTGTTGAAATAATTTTAATTTTAACCAGGACCATGTATCTCACATCAGTTTATCATTAAAGTTGTTGAGGAACAATATTTAACTCTTTCGCTGCAGAATTTTTTTATCAAAAAAAACAAACATTTTCTTTCAAAGAGCAAAAAAATGTGAGAGGTTGAGTTTATAAAAAAAATTGTACAATATTATTGTTTGGTTTATAAGACTAAATGTTATGCACTGCTAACTTGGATGAAACAGTTGCCTGGGTAAACACCCTCCTCAATGGCATCAACAATACAGTAATCATGATCCCTTCCCTCTTTCTACTTTCAACTACAGATATGTACACAGCTGGCAGTAGCACTGTAGTTGCTACAATTTAGGCAGAAACCATGCAAGCCAATTGTCTGCCCATGAAGACTCACGCAATGGTGGTTATGTTCCCTGAGTAGCGCTAGGGGGTCCGTGGCAGCACCTCTTTAGTCAACATGCCATTATAGACATGTCTGCCGGAGCCTGGGGGCATAGCACTAACTAAAATATCCAATTATCTTAATTAAATGTTGTATTAGCAAGCATCCTCACCAGTAGGTAAGCTGCTATGGCAACATCCTCATACACAAATTTCTTTGGGTCAGTTCGTTCTGTCCAGTTCTGAAAGAAATATTTCAAGTCATGTAACATGTTGAGGATAAGCACACACAGATATGTAAGTCATTATGAAGAACAAAAACATTTTTTTTATTGAAATACGTGTCATTTTGAAAAACAAAACAAAAAAATTTTTTATGAAATAACGTATGTAAATCATTTTGAAAAACAAAATTTTTTAAATGAAATATGTAAGTCATTTTGAAAAACATTAAACCAAAAGAAACAAGACTCACAAAAATACACAACCCCCATCTATTTTTAGAAATCAAATTTTAAAAAAACATTCTCAACCTTCACTAACTCTCTTCCATAAGAGTTCTTGAGACGCACATAGGTATCTTTGTATTTATCAATAGGCACAAGCGTTAATGAGGTGGCTGATGTTGAAATATCATTGATGTGTGACCAAATGACAAGTTTTTCCAGCAGCACTGTGTGCAGCCACTGTGATGACAGCTGCCGTCGGGTTTCCTCAGTCTCTGAGTGGTCACATGACCAGGACAGGACCATCTCATTGACTTGAGCCCAGGCAGGGCTAGGGCAATAAAATAGCAAGAGCTTAAAATGTCATACTTGTCGTTCTATTTTTTTTTTTTTGGTTATAAACAGTTGCTCTTAGTATTAACCTTGAACAACAACAAAAATAGCATTTTTCCTATATTAAAGGAGAACTAAAAAAATGGCTTTGAGGTAACAGAAGATCTATTTTTTTTTATAGTTTACCAGCATATATGTTATTGGTTAAAACCCTAGAAATTAATATAAGAAATAATCAAGCCATAGCATTTGGCATTTAAAATTATAGCTTTCATCAGCTCTGAATACTAACATTTCCTAAAATTTAATTGGTGATAAGTGCTGAAGTTTCCCTATGGAATTAATTTTATTTGTAATCATAGAAATTTATAACATTATCAACCCTAGCAGGCACCAATTTAATTCAATAATGATCACTTACAAATTTTGATTTATTTGCTGGAATTGAATGCTGTACTTGAGTTCAAAAGTTGGTGCTATCTCTTCATTTTCACTTGTACAATTTTGACTTATTGGGAGGAATGAGACAATCATTCTCTCTTTGTCTGTAAAACAAGAATGAAGTTTATTATTAAAGTAGAGTTTCTCATACGGTACTTCTTTGACTTTTAATTTAGTTTTTATAGAAGAAATGATAGAAATTACTTCTCAGAATTTCTTTAACTCTTTTCTGAAAAATGTATCCAATCCTTAATGTTACAATAAGATTCAGGCTGGTATTTAAACAAATCCTTTATTTATTTTTTTGTGTACAGGACTAATCAAAGTTTTAAATGAATGGATGGGCATGTGAATTTTGGATAGTAAACTTATGGTCTGTCAACTAGGTCACACTTAAAATCTCCTACAAATGAGTCACAAACTCCATTTATGTATTAGTGTACATGTACAAAGACTGTTCACAGATTGAATAATATTTTGAATCAAAATTTTGTCAATAAAAATTACTACAGTAAAGTACTTTACTGTAAAGGGAACTCAAAGAAAAAAAATATAAACAATATATCAAAATATAATATTGGCCTATTTAATATATTATAGTATATGATTTTACTTGCCATAAACAACCGCTTCCAAAAGTTTGGGGAAGAACTCAGACTTAGGTACAAGCTCTCTAATAATAAATGTAAATGGTTTTGTTTCATTAGCCAAGTCTGTAAAATTGCAAGCAGCAGCTGCATCTGGGGTATCCTTCTCATGTGAATGACAGTTTTGTGAGGTCTGAAGAATGGCCAACAGTTCTGATCTCGAATTTAATCGAGATACATTTATTATTTTGGAACCACATAGTCTTCTGTTCACAACGTGGGGTTTGTTCACCCAAACAGACACAGACTTCAGAAATAGCTGCTCTGTGCCTTTTGTTGTTTGTATTCGTCTGCATCTTTCACAAGTTGTAAAACTAACAGGTGAAATTGTATTGTTTGGAGGAGACTCCATAAATTCCATTTCCATCATAAATTTAAATTATCTGGCAACCGACTCCAAATAAATATCAATACTACCAACAGACCTCAGCATCAACAGTCAACAGATGTTATGGTTAACGTATGAATTATGAAGTAAACAGTTGTGAGTAACTAAGTTTGCTGGGAAACAAGATGCAGATCATAAGATCTGAAATGTTTTATGGTCCTTTATATGTGTAAACAAAAAGTCTTATTACTAAGACAATATAATATAAAAATAAAATCATGAATATATCTCCCAAACGCAGTCACTTCAACTTTATATTTTTTACTTATACTTATACTAATAGGAATAAGAACCTAACCTAAGGCTAAGAAACTGTGAAGGCACTGAATTCATTGATATAACTTTAAAAAGCGACCCATGCCATGTTCATAATTGAATTATTAAATTCGACAGTGTTGTATGGCAAATATTCAATAAGCAACATATTGGGAATTAGACAAGTGAAAAGAATCTCCTATTTACCAATATACAATTCCTTTAGAAATATTCTGAGATGTTATTCTTCAAGAGTATTTGAGTTTCAAATGTCTGTCCACTCTGAGAATATTTAATGCAAGATTGTGGCAGATAAGTTTATGAACAGTGCCGATGTAAATGTAAGTAGATATAGATGTCAAAACTTTAAAGCATTTCAAATCATTTTCTATTTAGCATGGTCTACAACTACGTTCACGTCGGCTGTGCCCTAACCCTGAAAACGCTAAGTGTCCTTCATCTTAATATTGCCATTGTTACATCTGATTTTTTTTTTAATCAGCAATGTTTAAACTCAGCATCAAATTAGCATTAAACAATATAGGAATCCTAGTTCAACCCCACGTAAAACTAAGAATAATGTTCAGGCTGTGTATTTAAATCCAATAAATTAGTGCTTTCTAACGTTTTTCACCTTGTAAACGTCGATTTCATGATCTTAATTAAGTCTTAAATTTACCACAGTGTGCCTGACACCATGAATACGTCCTGCACCCCTGTTTAATAACCCCTGACGTAAGGTGATCATTTAAAGCTAATTAAACTAACAAAGTTAGTCTCTACAATAGTATCCTAAACTGAGCCTAAACTAAAGTCTGAAACTGAAACGTAATTTATAAGTAATTTATTAGTAACGCAATAATATTTTTTTTTTTTAATTTAAAAAGAAAATTTTTGGGTTAAAACAGGTTGGCCTATTATAAATATAATCCTACATTTTAAAAGAAGACTAGTGTAGGCCTGTCATACTCATACATTTTCACTTAAGTTTATTTGTATTTTGAACTGAAACTAATTTGTGTTTATTTTGTTGCGGTAAGTAGTTTGAGCGTAAACAATGTTTCATGGATGCCAATATACGACTTGTTTTGCTCTATGTTTTATATTATTCTTTTTTCATGTAAAATACCTAACTTAGCTATATCCTGTTTTAATTAATTAATTTTTAAAACCAAATTAGCATAAAGTGATATATTTTAATGTATTGTTCTCAGTTCTAGGGAAATATTCCTTTAACTTTATTGAATTTATGTTCTTTCTTAACTTTCTATTTCAAACTTCTAACTTTCTTATTCTTTACTTTACTTTAATTTTAAGTTTTAACTTTACTTAAGCTTAAGTTTAAGACTTAAATTAGACGCCAGCCACCGAGATAGAAATTCAATACTATTATATACTAAGACTATCTATAATATAGTACAGTAGTGTACGGTACACTATGACTATGTGACTACATACTATATAAATTAATATAATAGTGTTGTTAGTGAGAAGTACTTAGTCTTAGTATTCTTTTAAATCTTTACTTTATATTTATATATTAATATTGGTTGCTGGAGCTTAAAATTAACAAACAAATACAACTTGGCAACAAGTTGTTAATGACCCCAGCCAATCTGGCTATAACTATAACTTAACGCCTATTGATATTGACTACTATGAATAGTGACTTTTTTTACAATAAGCAAGTCCCAAGTTAGTTTGTAGGTCTATAGTCTACAGTTACAGGCTATTACTATTTATTACTAATTACTAGTACCACAATCACATGAAAAAAAAAATTTTCTGCTATCACTATCACTATCACATAGTTATCCCTAAAACTAAAATAAATGTCTGATAGTAGACAGTGGTAGCTAAAATATCAATTTAAGCCAAGGGAATACAATGCAATGTAGTATAAACATGTGAAATGATATTGTACATCACATGATGATATATTTAAGCCTATGCCTGCCTATGTGGGAGCCACATAGTTCACATAGGCTTTATCTTAATTTAAAATGGGAATAGCATAGGCACAGGCCAGGAATCATTAACCTTTGTGCCAAAGTAGGATCAATTGATTCAGCATGGGCATGGCAACAACCAATAAATATAGCTTTATAATTATATACAGATTATTTTCAGTCACAGATATATATTTTGGTCTGCCGCATGACATCGAAATGTTTTATTAATTAAAAAATCCATTTGACAATCAATCATTGACAGGATAGCAACAGTACAAGTCACCCTGAATTAAGCAATGACCAAAACTTGCTCTCCAAACATTATGGAACCAAAACAAAACAGTTTGAAGCTTCTAGATCTTTAACAAGAATTCCACCCAAAGCCCAAGAAATTATGTTAAACAAGCAATTTTTACAGCAGTGCAGAACACTGAAATTGAGATGGCATTGTTTGCATAAGAAAGTAGTTGTTGATTTTAAATTAGAACCATGGCTCTATCTGTGGTTTTCTGCTGTTAAGACTTTATCTACAAAGCCTTCACTAAATTTGTCAGGAGTTATTGAACATTTCAGGTGTCAAATTTCAGTAAAGCCTCTAACAAACTATTTATTGTTGAATCATCAATGCAGTGCCTGGGTATTTAATTGTAAATGGGATGCATTTAGTAGTTTTAAATTTAATATCAATATTGAAAATCTAAGTCATTCTTCTACAGAAAAAAAACCTGTATTCTGCTATATTTGGACGATTTTATTGTGTCCAAAGAACACATTAGTATCACATGATAATACCAAATATTCAGATTTACTTAAAGATAACATATCGGCAATGCTGAAAGAGAGTTCATCAGACATAATCAAAGAGAATGTCTCAGACATAGACAAGGAGATTTTATTGGCTCGCAATACAGATTTAAATTCTAGGAAATGGAACTTGTGTAGGGACAGGTTGAGTGCTTTACAAAAAAGAATGATGGAATTATTGTCACAGACATGCAGAGCCATAAAGGAGCTATTAAAACATTACAAAAATGGAAGATATGAAGATAAAGTGTCAATGAAGATCAACAGAATTAGAAGAAATTTGGCTGCAGTGGAGAGGGCAGGCCAAGATGCAGTGAGAGAAGGAAGTGCAGGTTTTGGTGTGATGTCAGAAGTAACTCCAGGTCAAGGTGAAAATGTTTCAGAAGTCCCACAGCCAAATGCAGCCCCTGGTTACAATCAGACAAGGGAAGACTTAATATTTTTAAGAATGCTTGCCTATCGTAGGCAAATGTGAGTCGATGTGTTGCACTAAATAGTGATAACTAATTTACTATTTTTAAAAAAAGATTATAATAATCAAAATTTTGAGTTTTCACCCTTCATTAACCAAAGTTGATTCAAGTGAGAAATTTTAAAAAACTTTTTTTGAATTAAATATTCAAAAAAAGATTTTTTTCAATTTGATAAATGAACTTTTATGTCGGATGCATTAAATTTAGTTATGTAAAATATAGCTTGATGAAATAATTACAAAGTAGAATCAGTTCTTCCTGTCAACTCAATTGAGTGACAAATCTTGACCATATCTATCTCTGCAGTAACCGTGATGCGGACAGTGCCTATTTGTGCCTTGTGTTCCTGATGTGTCTTATGATGATGTGCATGTATCTGTTAAGAGGGTTCCATAACCGAAATACCCAGAAAAAAGAAGTCTGCACTCTTGATACGCTGAATTTCCCCACTGTCAAAGGTATATTTATAAAAGAAATGGAAATATATCTTGAAACTTTTTTCAAGAATTTGATGAAAAGCTCTTTAACTATTAGATAATCGTAAATAATGTTAGTGCTATAAAACTTGAATGCATGTTTTTTTTTTTAATAGTCTGAACACTGGAAACTGATTTTTTCTTTGTAAACACACCTCAAGTTACATGTAATTAAATCTACATTTAAAGAAAGTTTCTAATAAATTCCCATCATCTATGTCAGACATCCTTAATAGCAAATAAAACTTCTGTTACCGGTACTTTTCACATGGCATGAATGTCATGTTCTCATTCACTTGTTAAATGTTTTCACCGCCTCCTTCTTGTTACGACCAATCACAGTGGACTTACTCTTCCTCACTCACGTCCCCATTTTGACTCAATTAAGCCTCTTACCTACTTATGTTCTATCACATTCCTCCTCTCAGATACTACATTACTAGTGTTTATAATGTATTTTTATATTGTTTTTACTGTTGTTTGTTTGCTGAAGAAGGCTTCTTGCTGGCGGCCCATTCTTTGTTTTGATGTGTCTTTCTTTCAGGTTTTGCCCATACCTTGTTTCGCTCATTTCCTTTTACCTAACCCAATTGCAGTCTCTACCCCTTATTACCATCTTACTTTTCAGAAGTAGTTTTCAGAAAAGCCAAGTACCTTCCCATGTTCAACAGAGACAATTCTCTAACTGAGGTGCTTGTCCATGACTGTGGAACTAACCCTTGACCACAGAACAAGGATTGCTGAGAGGAGGGAAAAATAGACCTGTGTTGATATCAAGCTCCACTATTTTGAATGTTTCTGCCACTCAGTCAACCAAGTAATTAATTGGAGTAGGGAAATTGGTGGAGGGGCGGCATGAGCTGGATGGCAGAATTTTAAAATTCCCTAAGCCCGTGACCAAGACATTCTTATAGGACATTCAAATCACATTGTTAAATTTACATTTAATTTCTCTTAAAAATTATTTTAGCATTATTTATTTGACACTCTTCACTATCATAGTATGATTCATACACCCCGGCCCACTTTTTTTTTTCTTTATCCCTCTTCTCAGTTATGCCCCCTTGTTAAAAAAATAATAATAAAGGACTGAAAAATAATTATGTTATCACCTATAGCATTAAATCTGCATTGTTTAATGACAGTTTGATGCAGGCATTTATATTGTTATGAAATTTCTTTATCTTTTAGACTTTTAACATTTCCTTATATGAAACACCTTTGGTAGCGGCTCTTTACACCTGTGCATTTTAACTGTTTAACTGTTTTAACTTAATTATGTGAAACTTTGTTGGTTATTTTTATTCATGCTGACGTTTTATTTATCGGATCAGTGGCAGGATGGTAAATTAATGAGAGCTTCACCCGTTTAAATTTTTTTTTTTTAATTGGCCAATGTATACTGTATCTGATATGTACTTAGCACTGGTGCCAGTTATATTTATCCATTTATACATGTTTTAAATGACATTTATATGACAGATATGTCATTCCCTTATAATTTATCTTAATTGATGTGATTGAGAATAGTGTTTGTAATAATTGTGCAATACCATTTCATGTCTGACTCTTGGCGCCTTTAATTTTACTGTTGACTTGATTCTCATGAAGAGGAAATTGAAAAAAAAAAAAGGGTAAAACTTACATTAAAACAATTTTATTTTTTTACTTTTACCAGTAAATAAACAATCATTGTAAACATAATCAATAGTTTAAAAGATGGAATCCATAATTTCTTTGCTGTATTATTTTCATTTTTCTGTTATTTATGGCTGAGATACACAAACATGACAGTTTATTGACCAATCGTTGTGGAAATTCTGATGATTTTATTTAATACCGTACGTGAATTTTTTGCTGGCATCAATCTATCACAATTTGACGATGGTGTGGACTTTGCAGGACATATTCCACAAGGAATGGGATTATTCTTGTAGGATTATAAGCTGGTTCCCAATGGCAAATCGTTTCTCTCCACGCTGCTGGATAACCCCATAGGAACATCATATGGATGATACAACTTGGCACCAGTGGCATCGCAGGAGTTGTCAGATTGTTTCATTGTACCAATGTTATCCGCCTACAGAACTCCATCTCCGGGTTTGAATTCAGTGTTTTCCTTCTCTTAGGTGAGTTGCTATCCAAGGTTGAACTCCAGACCATCAACTTGAGATTTGCTCAGGTTAGACCACTCGGCCACCCAGCACCCATGAATTATATCTGAGAATTTAAAATCCTTGTACATTAAGTAATCAAGATCTACATATTCAGAGTTGAAAATTCTTTTAATTCAAAACGATTGTATTTAAATATTTAAAACGATTTTTTTTTAAATCATCAAATGAAATTGGAGACTACTGAATTTTAAAAATTTAAATGATTGAAAATTCAAAAACAATTTTTGGAACCTAAATAGTAAAGAAATTTGAAAACTATGTTTGTTGCTCTTATCAAAATAATTTTTACTAACTTTGCTTAAAGCTGTCTTAAACTGAGTAAATCCCAAACTCGTGGAGTGGAGTTCAATCCTCAGCAAAAGCCTAGACAAGCAAAAAGAATACCAGCACCCCGGGTGGATGGTACTCGTTAATCTTGGATGGCAATCCCTCCAAGAGATGGCAAACTCTGAAATCAAACCTGGAGATGGAGTCCCGTAGGTGGTTAAAAATTCAGATAACTCCAGCAACGTGGAAAGCAGAAAGAGTACAGTGAAACAAAAAAACATTGGATGAAATAGGCAAGGACAAGAGAGTGAGGCTGATGAAATGAGCAACTCACCATCACTTTAAACCAAATACAGCTCAAGTCAAGGCTACTACTCAAGTCGAATATTGCCTTGGTCGTCTTCACATATGAAGGACAAAAAACAATTTAATATACACTAATTACTATATACATATACCAGTATTTTTTAGCGATATTGGCTAGTCACTGAATTACTATTTTTATTTGAAATGCTTCACTTGCCATTGTGTGTAATGTGGTTGTCAATTTGTCAGTCATTGTGACCATAAGAATTATTATTGATTGTTGTTTTTTCATAGAGTATACATTGTCACTTTATAGTTGAGGTATTCCTTTTAATGAAAGATATTTGTTGAAGCTTAGCACTGGATACAGACAGCATTACAGTGCATGGATTGGTATCTTTCTTCATATCGTAACTTACAAAGCCAATGACATTATTAAAGTTAAAGAATAACCATCCATGACATTGTAGGTTGGTTATTTGTTTTTTTAATTTTTGTGTGTTTTTTTTTTGTGTCCACATTACTAGAGTGATCCAATCTAATCTATGTTCAACTTGTTAGTTGTGTAAATAGATGAAATGATACACAGCTTCACGGTCTTTTAGGAGAGTAAAGTCACAACACACAAAAATTAGACTTAACTGACTGCTGAGAATTCAGGGTTTATTCACATGGCAACAATATCACAACTCAACAGTGCATTATTTATTTGTATATTAAATAATCTGATAACTTTGCCAATAATGGCATCACACAGTTGCATCCAGGGGGAGGAGCAAAGGGCAATAACCCTAGAGCAGCATTTCTCAACCTTTATACTCATGCTGAACCCTTGAAAAATTGTTAATGTCGTCAAAAACTCAGGGTACCATGACATACACCTAATGTATCTTCATTATTATCTTACATTCTCTATTATAAAATTTTATATTTTGCAGCATTACCTAGCAATTTCTTGCAGATTTGTCGAGGTCCAATCCGTTGAACCTCAGCTGAAAATCACTGCCTTAAAGTAGATTTAAACTGACTAAATTCAATGCAGCAAAATTAAGTAAGGTCTATATTATTAATTATTAAAATACAAGGCTGGCAATCCTTGATAAAACCTGGTAACATAAAATATAATACAAACAATATGTCAATTATTATTGGTATTTAAACTGGCTCATTTACTTTCAATAATTATTTATATTATCTATAGATGAGTTACCATTACATTACATTTTGCCACAGCAGGAAAATTTAGAACACTCTGGTGAGGATTAGCTGGGGAGGTAGTGACTGCAATGGAATATGCCCAATACGGTGATACAAATCAAATGAAGAGAAAAGTGTTTAAATTATAAGATGAAGGAATCAAAAATGTAATTATATAAATGCATATTGAAATGCTTATAATTCAAACAATAATTTTTTTTTTTTTTTTATTAAGTAAAAAGATACAATAGTGAAGATAAACTAACAACAACAAAAATTTTGCCACAGCAAGAAAATTTAGAACACTCTGGTGAGGATTAGCTGGGGTGGTAGTGACTGCAATGGAATATGCCCAATACGGTGATACAAAACAAATGAAGAGAAAAGTGTTTAAATTATAAGATGAAGGAATCAAAAATGTAATTATATAAATGCATATTGAAATGCTTATAATTCAAACAATAATTTTTTTTTTTTTTATTAAGTAAAAAGATACAATAGTGAAGATAAACTAACAACAACAAAAATTCAGTACTGTTTACTAAAGCCAGGATGTAATTTTTTTTCCTCGGCAACAAACAAAGAAGGAAAAAAAGGAATTGAGGAGATACAAAAGCAAGGCTTTGGTGGCACGACTTACTCACATGTGCCTAACGTTTTCTTAAGGTTTCAATAACAAAGGGGCAGATCATCCAGAGACCCTACACAGACATGTCTGTTAAGGTTGAATTTCACCCACACAAATAGCAGAGTGTACTCATTTCTCTTGAGACTTGGCGACCTCTGCAAGCCATGACTCCAGGTGAGCAATTTGACCCTCAACGCTGGACTTTGATGTCCCGCCCGTTGCCTTGTACTGCTCAACAGAGTTAGCATAGTCCCAAACTTTGGTCACATCATCATCAAAGAGTGGACTGTGTGGTAAGAACAAAAGGGATTACAGTCAATTTGACAGTGGTACAACAGATATTAGAATAAACATGACTTAAGATTCCGAGTTATAAACGCACCATTTTTAAACAAATGAATGCTTACAAAGCACAATAAAAATAAAACAACCCCAAAAATACAAAGTTATTCGTGTATATCCTTTATTTGCAGTTTTGTAATTGTATGTGATTTATCATTTATTAAGAAGCGGAGATGTAAATGAGTAAACTTCATACAAAAACAGTTTCATATTTCCTTCATTTTCCCTTTCAAAAATACATTTTATTTTTACTGCGTACCCAAATATGTCGCAAATACAGAGCACATACCAACAGCTACACAATTAATCTCCACACCAAAACACACAACAATTGAACAAATCCTGTTTCATTCATCTTCCCCTTTAAAAACAGGGAAAAACTGATTTTTGGAGATGGGGCTGGACTGAAAATTTGAAAGAATTTGTTGTCATCAGCAACGAGTCTATGTGCCGAATTTCAGCTCGAAATGATGACCGGAAGTGGGTCCTTCCGAAGATTTTTCCACAAACACACGAACAAAAACGAAGTTAATATAAAGCATTTAATGACAGTAATGAATGCAGCTCGGCATAGTACACAACCCACAAGTCATTGCATTTGTACTCATTTCCAACTAATGCTCACACCACCAGTCATCCATTTATTTGGTGCCAGTAACTATTTTAAAAAGTCCAAAAGCTGATTGGATAATCTTTTGCCTAATCAAATTAAATATTTGTAGACAGGCCTTTTTAAAATCAAAACTCAAAAGTCTTCATACTATGATGAGCCGGGCCGAATGAATACTTCTAACAATAAGTCATATTTAGGCTGTGTTTAAAAAAATAGCTTCCATTTATCAACTAGTCAAACATAATTTTCTAACAACCAATTTTTTAAATGGTCATAATTCAGTTAGGGCGAGATGAGTTAAACCTTATATCTTATAAATATATATATATATATATATGACAGCTTGGCAGCTTCTGTAATGACTGCCCTCAACACCACTAAACAACTTCTACAAAAAAATATTGTAAAAGATAAAGGCTAGCCAGAAGTGATGATTTATTTCCTACAATCGTGGCACTGCATTAAACTAAAACATGGTGGGACGTTATGATCACCTGACTGAGTGGAAATCTTTAAGAGACAGTTGAGACACTGAAATGCCCTGCTTCTCGGCCAGGGCTATGCAGAGACCAGCCATGCCATGGGCCTCGCGGAAAGGCAACTGGAATAGGAAAATAAGTGCAATCAACAATCAATATATACAAAATTTTATGGAGATTACTCTGTTTTGTAGAAGAAAAAATATATGTCAGAAGACTTAATACATGATTTTCATTGAGGCTAAGTAACAAATAAAGAGTATATTGGAGGCTAAGATAAGTAACAAATAAGGAGTGTCTTGAAGGCTAAGATAAGTAACAAATAAGGAGTATCTTGGAGGCTAAGATAAGTAACAAATAAGGAGTATCTTGGAGGTTAAGATCAATAACAAATATAAGGTATCTTGGAGGCTAAGATAAGTAAAAAATAAGTAGTATCTTGGAGGCTAAGATAAGTCAGAATTTAAAGGAGTATCTTGGAGGCTAAGATATGTAACAGATAAGGAGTATCTTGAAGGCTACGATAAGTAACAGATTGAAAGGCCTGCCCAATATGGAGGATATGAGATTTGATATGTTACAAGTTGACAAATAAAAGGTCTGCAAGTGAGATATCCCATTTCTGAGTACATTTAAATATATCTGGGAAACAGCCATTGGGTGGCTAATAAGATGCATGACACCAATGGGTGTGGGTCGCCATTACTGATTTATTAGTTTTAATTTTTTTAACAACTAAAGATGCCTTCACCTTCACTAACTGCATATATAACATATATATATATGCCACATTTATTTACCAATAAATGATCACTGTCACATGCCAGCTATAAAAGTTCACTTATGGTATGACAGGTGAACAATAAAGCTAACAACTTTCAGGAAGAAACAGAGAGTATCATATCAGAGGGACAAACAGAGTTAACCTACCCCTTTTCTGACTAGATAATATGCAATATCTGTGGCTAACATGTCAGGACTGAGAGCACCCTCCATCTTATCAGGATGGATCTAAAACAAGTAAAATCAAGTAATAATACATAAACATAAGTTTTTGTAAAACTTAATACAAAAAAAATAATGTTAATTCTTTATTAAAACCTAAAGACATTAAAATAAACATTTTACATTTCTTCCAACTCAAAGAATATTTCTCTTCTAAATTATTGAAAATGAAAGCATGCAAAGCACTTTGGAAAATGATCTTTTACAAAAAAAATGTTATCACTACTCTAAAGGTTATTGCTACCTTGAGGGTTGACAGGACACCTGTGGCTATTTGTAATACTGCACAAATTGTATCGTAAGTGTCAAACATCGCTTCCTTGTCTTCCTGGACATGGGAGATCATTCGGTTTTGAATGAGTTTTTTTACAAGTTTAAATAAAAACAATACATTTCTGAGGAACAGATTAACTTTCAAGATAACAAGTGTAATTGTAAATTTGAACACTAACAAAACTAATTAAGAACAATCTTCATTTATTTGTTTTCCTTTGCTGAAATAATCAAATTATCTTGAACTTGCAGACGTCAAATAAAAGATTCTACATCTGCCAGAACACGAGAGATAATTTATATTGCCCTTTTAAACGAATTACCACTTGGATAAATAATCCAACCGCCGAAATTATTGTTATTGTTTAGAAAACTATTTTAAACCAACAACACAATAGTCTCAAAATTTTTACATCAATGTGAAGATGGGGGGGGGGGGGGCGAGAGAAGATGTGAAGCAAAAATCAACTTTTTGGAGTGGTATACTTACTTGAAGATCTTTATTGTATGTGCTTGGTATTCCTTTAAGAGCCATCATGAAGGATGTGCACTGTAGTACAAGGTACATAATAAATGGATATACTCTACAGCAACCATAAAAACTGCTGGATACTTGAAGGATATTTTTCCTCAATTACATTTCACAGTTAAAAGTATTTTATATACTCCCCCTTGCACACATTACACAGTGCTGATAAAGGAAGTGGCGACATCATTATTTTGTAAATATCAATTGTGGATCAATTGTTTTGAAGTTAATTGGTTTAAGAACATTATGAAATTTAAGTTAAACCCGACAAAAATTTTTTTTTTATAGCCAGCCAGGTTTCAACAATGTGTAATTTTGAAGTATTTGGACATAACATGATATAAATTGTCAGGGCTTTAACCTAAATATTCCATAAAAATTAGACAACAGTGATTATGCCACAGTGGTTCTTAAAATTGTGTC